CGGGTGGATGGATGGGTGGATGGAAGGATGGATAGATGGATGGATGGATGGATGGGCGGGTGGGTGGATGGATGGGTGGATAGATGGATGGATAGATGCATGGATGGATAGGCGGGTGGATGGATGGGTGGATGGATGGATGGATAGATGGATGGATGGATGGATGGGTGGATGGATGGATGGGTGGCCAGTCTTTGGCTTCTATAAACCCCTGAAACTATAGAAAGAATTTCATTTCTGGAGCAAAGGACTGCAGCTTTCACTAGATTCTCAATTGAGGTCTTGCCTTTCTCCTCCACATGCTGAGGAAATCTGTTGTGCTAGAAAAGATGCAGGATTTCCTAGAAAGCCACTGACTGTTGGGCAGGAGCAGCTACTCTGTGCCTCACAGGAAGTCTTACTCCAAGGCCATTGCTTCTGGCTCTCCAGGCCTCTCTGCAAGTGCAGGACAAAGGACCTCCCCACCCCGGAAGCCCTAGCCCCATCCTCTTGGCCTCTTGGGGCTGAGAGCACAAAGAACAATGGGCTTTTTTTTTTTAAGATTTACTTATTTATGCACACAGAACTGGGGTACAGGTCAAAGGTGCAGATAGTGAGAGGATCCACCAGACGCAGAGTGGGGAGAACAGGCAGCTGTACTGAAATACACGGCTGAGGGGAGCAGCAGGTGGGCCAGGAGAGGTTTGCCATGACACGTGGGTCAGCTCCCTTTTCGGGGATTGAACTCGTGCTGCAGTGGCTGCAGTCACTTCATAGTGCTGTGTTTAAGCCCACTTCACCACCAGGGAAGGTCCGCAATGAGGCTTTTTTTATGGAGACCCTGAAGGACTTTTGCAGTAAGATCAGCCCATCACAGCTACAGGCCCCACTTGAGGGAACTCTGGCTAGATTAAACAATGAAGAGGAAGTGTCCCAGAGAACTCTAAGCTATGGCGCTCCCCAACACACGAGAAAGGGTAAGGCTTATTCAGATATCCTCCACCAGAGATGACCTTGCTGCGC